AGTACTACCCATTTCAGGCTGACTGGGAGATAGAGCACGAATTCCGTTCCCCCCTTGCGAATGAGGATGACTGTCGCCAGTAGCTAGTTCATGGGTAGCTGCCTTTGTGTGATGGACGCATTAAGTAGTCTAACAAGGGGCTCAGCTAAGTGTTCAGCCAGCCGTTTCAAGATAGCTGCGTGAATGCCATCTAGTCTGCGGCCTTAATTGAAATGAGCTTCCTCAAGACTCGATGCATTTAATCTGCAGAGATCATCCGGTATAAGAGTTTTCCCATGGTATCCGACTGTGGGCTCTGATATACCGTCGTCTTGTCTGTAAAATCCCTAGAAGTAGTTAATGAGGGATTCAGTCTTCTTCCAGTTGGACCAAATTAGATTGCCCCTCGCATTAACGATTGTGCTTATGAACCTTCTAAGATTACTCTTGGACTGTATATGGTTGCAGTACACCTTAGGGTTCTGTTTAGTGTTTACAGCAAGGGATTGTTCAATAAAAAACAATAACAATGGTATATTTCACGACAAAAGTCGTGAGGTATGCTGGGGTGCATGATCATTTTGTGCAATAATTGGTAGAACATTTGGGTTGACACAGTTAGTGGGGTTAAAAAAACAGAACGCAATCATGTTTACGCGTGATAAACAAAGAGAATCACAAAACGGTCAATGGAAAATTGGTTCATTCGGAGATTAATTATAGAGGTGAGCAAGGTGGCACATTTCTCATAGTTTTTAGTTCTGCAGGTGAGTATGTATGGAGATGGAAAATCACGGGGGAGGAATTGGAATAATTTAAAATAATAATAGATGTCAATGAATTGTATTATTCAGGATTGAGTTCAATTCAGGACGATAAATTGAAACAGCCAGTACTGAACACGGTAAAGAATGTTAAAACGTTGATCGTGCGAAAGTGGACCGAGACAAAGCCTGAATTGATGGAGTTTTTGAAAGCTTCTTTATGTACACGTGTTTGGATATTTGTGTTTGAAAAATACGCATATATATAAGTCATGCAAGTACGACTAGATTCTGGATGATATCACTGTTTGGACGAGGGTAGTCGGGTCAAGACGGGGAAAATTGGTTTCCGACCTTGCCATGTCTTTTATCACTGAGCGAAAATACGGGGCATGCGGTCGCGGAGTTTGTTTAACAAAGCGGTCCAGTCGATCGGAGAGTCCACAGAATCCTTCTTTAAGTTTTCCGGTTATACTTTGGTTTTCTACATCGTTGCATATCGGTCCGACCCGACGTTATTCTGACAGTAAGAGGTCTCTGGAAAAGAAGTCGGAAATGAGAAGCAGTCTAGATAGGTTCCTAGTTGATGAAAGGGTGTCGAGAGAAAGCATGCATGTTATCGCTCAAACTAATGGTAAAAGCTTGCGGCAGACAAAGCACTAGAGATGTAGTTGAACCAATTACGTCGGTTTGATCAACTGCCACTCAGGAGACCATGCAATAAAAATAGAAAAGCAAACATTTCCGTGGGATGGAGAAAAATAAGTTAATGAAGGAAAGATTTTAACGAAGCATATTAAAGTCCTATCGGCAGAAAAGAAACTAAGCAGAAGAACATCAGGTGGTCAAAAAGGAGTAAGTTAAGGAGAAAAACAAGGTTTCATGTGGCACATGTTAGTCCAAGTAGAATCGACATCTTTTGAGCGGTAATGTTCGAACGCGGTTCCTAAACTTGGACTGATATACTAATGAAAATAATGATTCTGAGTTTGCTTAAGGGCGACAAAAACAGACTTGTTGAGAGGAAGAGGTAGATGAAGCTAATGTGAAATTAATAGAGAAAGAAAAAACCTGACTGAGATTTGACAACAGGTGAGAAACTAGACAGAAGGGGATCAGGTTGTCAGAAGGATTTAAGTTAAGGGGATGAAACTGTCTTCTGCATTTATTTTGTACTCGAGCGGCTTGGTAACTTGATACCTTTTACCTTAGGTGGGTGGAAAATCCTCCCGATTCTGGATCGCGCTGCAACGTCTCTTTCTTTTGCAGCCTTGATTTGTCTACACATGCCCTTCACCAGGGTAGTTTCCCACGGCGTCTCAGCCTTTTTTCAAATGCTACCTGATTGGTCAGGTCCGGGAGATTGTCTTTTACGAGCTCCCATTGGATTTACACAATTCCTGAGGCATTTTCCGTCCGCCAATTCAGCCGACATGTGCTACACTGCAGATCCTTCATGTTTGCCTTACTTCAATGGCGCCGGAATAGGTCAGGAACAGGGTGACCCTGAATTTCGACCCCCATCCTAATAACACTGTGATCACTTTTGTCCATCGAACCTCATGTGACAACTCCCCTCACTTCGTTGGAGGATTTGGTACACACTTGGGTTCAACGTAGGAGCGGTTTGTTCGAATCTTCATCTCATCTCTCCATTGACATGTTAGAACAGGGCCTTACGATGAAACATCTGAAGTAAGCTTTTCCCGAACGACCCCAAATAAGCTGTTTCAGTAGTGCAGTCGATTTTAGGGGTGGTTAAGTTTCATATTACTATCACTTTATCATTGGATCCACCCTAATCAGTCAATAGCTTCAGAAGTAGATGGTTTTCTTCTGCAGTTGCCGATGGGCTCTTGTGGACACTGATTACTGATAACCAGTGTTGTACAGTTTGCACAACCCCCTTTAAAGCTTGAACATTTGGGATGCTGAGGTGACGGCCTCCATGTTGGCTGCGATAGGCGGCTACAAGCATCAGCACTCCCCTCCGGCCCTATCATTCTGTCGATCTATTCTGCATGCAATATAGCTTGAGGACAGTTTACTTATTTCGTCCCCTCGAGGCAACCACGACTCTTTGACTATCATCACATCCTCCTTGCCTGTTCGTGCTCTTAGCTCGGGCCATTTATTCCCGATACTTGTGGCATTTGTGAACCACACACTTAGTTCAGACTAATCCCGTGATCCTTTTCGCCTCGTAGGAGTAGCCGGTCGCTCGGATCCTAGGCCCGAGCTCTCCACCCGTTTTTGCTGTTTCGCATTTGCTCTCCTTATTTCCATCCCGAAATAGGTCTCTCGCTAGGTTGCCTGAAGGGACGTGCAAGCTGAGTCCCGCAGATCTAATAATAATAACAATACTAATGTATATTTCACGAGGCCCGTGAAGCACGCACAGAGCATGATCAAATGTTCAAAATAGTCATATGTACATCAAAGGTGCAGATATGTAGAAGGTCCAATTAGAGGATATACACAATGGAGACGGCAGGGGACCGAAATGAAAACGCAGTGCAAATGGAACACAATGTGGACAAGGTCACACACGTTGATTTGGAGGATGGAGGAAATACGCTGGGTGAGAATGTGAAACGGAAAATAAAGGAAGAGCGAACCTTGTATCGAGAGGATGCGACGTGCGTAATTAATGGGAGGAAAACACGGATGAATTTTCTATGAGACTAAGAACTGGAGGAGATGGAGACTCGTGGATCGATATGAATGGGAAAGACGGGTACAGCAGGTTTATACAGTACGGAAATACATGTTTCTCTGTCAGCTGCATAACAGATTGCTTCTGAGAGCACATTCATTCGGGATTTCGGGGCTTCGATCGGCAAAGGATTGATTTAAATTATTTAAACGTTGGTCGCTTTGATGTGGGACTGACTACACGTTAGACACTAAACCTTAAAACACCTTGTAGGTGAGGCAGGGGGTGTGATCCTCAACCTGGTCCGGAACGCGGACGCATGTAGTCTGAACGGTGGATACAACCGCACCAACAACCCTTGCCGGAGCCAAATTGTCCATTGTGGGTGCAGACCCCAAGCCTTCGTCAGGCCCAAACCAACCGATTCTGGAACAAGAAGGCGATATACAACAGTCTGGGATGATACCCAGCTGAGAAGGAGTGGGGGGAACAAAACATGTTACGAATAGTATGCACTATGGAATAATGGTAAGACGTATGTGTACCTACGAATATATATATCTATATATATTTACAGAATCCAAGATGTAACAGGTGAAAAGCATGCATCTACTGAGAATTTGCTGCACAGACCTAGCTTTGGTGCTCGATCCGTGTACTGATATTAAATTGTCTAAATGGACACTGCTACCTGGTGAGCATGTGCCACAGGGTTTTACCAATTGAGTCGAATCGTTTACAGATCAGTGGGAGATAAATCAAGCAATAATGGGTCACAGTGCTTTGACAAGCCGGTACCTTCACAGAGTATGTTCCACAGAGCAAGCCTTGAGGCTGGATCCGTGTACTAATAAGATTTGGGTTTAGGAAATGAACACAGCTGCCTGGTTAACATGTGCCACGGAGTTGAGTCAGGTGATACAGGTGAAAACCATATTGAAAACATTTGGATTATGAAGGAAGAGGTCACAATACTACTAGAAGTATGAACTGGAATTGATTACGTTCCACAGATCCAGCTTTGAAGCTGAATCCGTGTATCGATAAGAATTTTGTGGTGCTACAATGCAGTATCCAGTCCTTTGGTGTCTTTTGGGAGCTTCGTTGCGTAGCAGGCTTAACTCGATATACCCTCACCTCAAGCAGGCCCATTCGCAAAGTGGCAAAGCCAGGCGATTCTAAGGAGCTCGCGAGTACAGAGCTTTCCTCTTGGGCCAAATGGTCACCAGGCCCTTATTGCTTCATCTTATCTTTCCATCGGATGCTAGGAATTAGTCCTGATGCCTCGGGTTTGTGAACTCCACGAGGACCGGCCTGGAAGGATGACCCCACTCCGACCCCATCACCGAACAGAGTCCCAGGGGCAGGACCCTCCTGATGATTGTGTCCCGGGAGCTCTAACATGGTTGGTTCACACCATCCGCATCGTTAGCTAAATCATGGTGTCAGGTGACTCTCGTCCTTTCCAGCGTCCGTGATAGTTGGCGTGCCAGAATGAACAAAGTAGACCACTTGATGTTTGTGTATGCGACCGCAGAAACGTAAATCGTCCTCAACAAACTCTTGAGATCCAAAGGGGTCACGATCGTACGAGAGGGTACCAAACTTCTCGTTGAAACCCGAGGCAATCAATGTGCGCTTCGTATGATCTGATCTCTGGAAGTAAAAGATTGTCGGAGAAAATCGTTGTAGCATGCTAACGTTCAAAATTGTAGCATCAATCATAAACAACCATTGAGCATACAAAACAAATATCGACCTGAACGTGAGATTGGTGTCTCGTCCTGGTCTGATAAGGTACTCACACACTGCTGATTTGGATGTGAGACAGTTGCCGTATTCAAAATCGTAACAGGTACCAGTATCTGCAACCTTGACTCTGAGGTAGGTGCCTCAATCATCGGTCGTGCAGGAATAATATTGAGTCTCGAACTGGCGTGCACTATATTATCGTCGACCTAGGCTCCTTTGAGACGTTCGATGTTCATCGTATCGACGCAACCATGTCGATCAACCTTGAAGAACTTTCGTGACGCGTAATAACTCAGAAAAAGTACTTCGTAAGGCTGTTGTAACGGTTTACGTACCGCATCAAGTCGACTGAGTACGTGCGAACAGGTTAGAAGTTCAGTGGGTATAAACACCTTTCGTTGCTGTATTCCAGTTTTTGCCGGAGACAAGGATTGCATAAACGTAGACAAACGCTGCGCGTAGTCCTGTATTCGAATGGACTTAATGTTCCGTGGCGTGAAAAGTTCCCCATGCCGTCGTAATTTAGTGTCGAAAACGAGTTCAGCTGCTGTACATTGGATATCTGCCTTTACGCATGTTCTGATGCCTAATAGAACAAGAGGTAATGTTTGGTACCAATTAAGATTCACGTGTGCCCTAAGGGCACTCTTTAGTTGACGGTGAAAATGTTCGACTAAACCATTAGATGCTGGATGATAAGCAGTTGTGTGGATGCGTACCGTGCACAGCAATCGTGTTAGCGAAGAGAATAACTGTGATTCGAATTGTGCTCCTCTGTCAGTCGTGACAGTAGAGGCGTAACCTTAGAGTGCTATCCTTCGTTCTACGAAATGTCGAGCTACTGCTTCGGCCGTGACAGTAGAGATGGGAATAACCCCAGGCCATCTAGTGAACCTGTCAATACACGTGAGTAAATGAGTATACCCGTGTGACGGTGGTAATGGGCCACAATATAGATCAAAGCGAGCATTGGGCGTAGCAAACGTACCAGTAGGTGCGGCTACATGCCCATGCACTTTGGATTCTTGATACTTTAAACACTGTTTCGCCCACACTCGAACGCCCTTATTCACGGATAGCCAGAAGTATCGTGCAGCAATCAAATGCAAAGTTGCTGAGATGCGTGGGTGTTATAAACCATGTAAGGTTTCAAAAAATAAACGAAGATAAGATGAGGGTACTATAGGTTGAGGTAGACCTGTGGACATGTCACATAAGATGGTACCATTAGAAGTCGTTAACGGTATCACCTGACATCTTAAGGAAGTTGAGTGAACCCCCTCTTAGCAAGATGAATCATTTGCTGGGTGTCAGCCATAGCACTGATATCTAAGGAGGACTTTATCGCATTTACATGAATACCTGATAAAGCGTCCACAACACAATTCGACTTGCCTTGGGTATCCTGAATGCCAGTCGTGAACTGTGAAATATAATCTAAGTGTCTGGTTTCTCGAGGTGAGTAAAGGTCAGACTTAGTATGCAAAGCATGTGTAAGAGGCTTATGGTCTGTATATAGGGTGAAATCTCGACCTTCGGCTGCATGTCTTAAATGCTTAATGGCGTTGTAAGCTGCCAGCAGATCGCGACCAAAAGCTTTATATTTGGATTCTGTTGGTGTAAGGCGTCGAGAGCAAAACTCCAGAGGTTGCCAAACCCAGAAACCTGTTGTTGCAAGACCGCTCTAAGTGCAAAGTCTGAAGCATCAACCGCTATACTAAGCATAG